TGCCTCTGAATCTTGACAACCACACTTGCTCATCTTGCTGCCAAGTTCCATTGCTGAAACTATACTTTTATCAGTCATGTTTGTGTCTGGCAAAGGTCTGTAGACACAACATCATTTAACAGCAGTGCATATTTTCACAAGCTTTACCTCTTCAACACTTTTTCCAAGTTAGTAAATCATAGCTTCTTTAATGTCCTGCTGGCTGTGTGAAAAACAGGAATTTATGTAACAAGCTCTGTGCTGCAAACTTTTTCCTGTTAGGAAAAAATTTTTTATTGTTGGCAAAGTTAGGAGACAGCTCTGTTACTCAAAGAGTGACCTCAAATGTCCTCAGTACAATAATACTAGTTTATAACATTTCTGATGACTAAGGAATTGCAGTAATTTCTTAAATATTTAACACTTTTTTTTTTTAGGGAAGGAGGAGTTAAATGTTGCTGCATTTCTATGGCCTAGTGTTTTATGTGTTTGATGCTTTTTTTTTTTAATAGTAAACACTATATCTGTGCCAAGATGGAGTATGTTTACAAAATACAATAAAAATGAACTAGTGCAGGAGGTTTTTAATCAACAGCCTTGCAGAATAATTTTCTTTTAACATTTCTAAATCTGTAATTTTATCAGCCTTTAATTCAGCTACATCTCAAAAGTGGTAACAAAGGACTGAGTTTGTCTGGATTTTCTAGGAGATCCAGATACTTGAAATGATTGACTCTCTGTTGCCACATGGGAGACCTTGGTTGAATATTCTGATCTACAGTGAGTTCAACCTGTAGCAGGGGCAACAGTGAAATTTATGGTCAACCAAAAAGTGACATTTGGACTGCCAAAGGAGTTGTTTGGCCCTCATTGGCTTATAGCCAGTAGATGAGATGCCAGGTGTGGTGAAGAGAAGGGCATTCAGTCTGGGTCCAGCAAGGTGCTGAGAGCCCTAAACTCCCAGAAAGGATGATGGTGGTTAAGAGGTACACAGCATCGACAGGCAGTATTATCACTAGCAGGGCTGGGCCCTTATATGAGAATAAAAAATGGTGATCCCCACTGTTCTAACTAGAGTACATATCCTCAGATCAGAGATGAAAGAAGTAGTATGCCAAAGAAGGACATATCCCCATTCTAATTATTTCATATTAGAGAGCCTGTTTAAAACGAACAAAAAAACCCATCCCCTTCACAATGGAGGGTGGAAATTCTGGCATTAATATTGATATGTATTTTTAATTGGATTACTTTTTACTTTTTAAAAAAAAATTTAAACTTTTTTTGTTTCTAAAATTCTTCTAGATTCCCTGCAGCAGTGAGGTGGCTCACATTTGCAGCAGAGCCTTTGGCAGCTTACTGCTAGCTTTGTTTTGAAATCTTGAAGATCTTCAGGGTAACTGACCCTGAAAGCATCTCCAGCAGTTAGCGTGGGAGAGGAGCCTGCTACTGCTGACTCGCTGGCAGCATTTTGTACCTCCACCTGCGTGTAGGTCTGCCTCTGCCACCGTTGCATGTAAAAAGAGGGCCAGTGTGCCCCTCGAGGTGCTCCAAGTTGCTAGAGCCATTGCCAGGAAGGTATTGCTGCCCTTGCTGGCTTCTGTCTTTCTCCTTCAGACAACAAGAGAACAAGCCACCCTCCTTAAACTGTTTTCTTTGGCCCCAGGAGCTGAATAAAAAGAGATTGGTGTTGAAGAGCTGGGACATCAATATTTGCTCATCTCCACATGTGGCAGAGCCCCTCCCCACAAAGAGAATCCTCTGACAGGTCCCATAGCAGCTAGAGACTTCAGATGGTTGAGAGACAATACTCAAGTTGCCTTCTGTGGTCTCAACCAAGTCAGCAAGCTAACCTCTTCCATCTGGGTGTTGCTACAGGCAGTGAGATGTACTCATTAGCTGAGTGATGGTAACTTTGAGAAAACGGGGGTTGTCTTAATTTCAGAGGAATAAGTGGGCCCAAAAAGACAAAATGTTAACGTTTTGAGTACATAGACCTCAGTCTGGTTAGTCTCCTGGCAAACACATTAGAAATGTCACGCCAGAATTTAGAAATGTATTGATTAGAATACATGAGAGAGAGAGAGAGAATAAAAAATGAAACATAAAGCATTTTGGAAATGAAGTTGTTTGGCTTAACCACTCAGTGTGATTAATTGTGATTAAAAGTTCCTTTTTCAGAGAGAAGATATTGGTTATTCTCTTATTTTGTGACATAATCCTTTGTGGGGAAGATAGGGTTAGTTCTGTAAAATTTTGAGTTGACCCTGTGACTGGTGGTTACTTTTCCTGCCTTTGACAAACCAGAAACAAGGGGAAAAGAAGAGATAGTAAAGGTGGAGGAATGTGACTTTTTGTTGATGTTCTCATGTCTTGAGGTGGCTGGTCAGTCACAGGCAGATGCTTTGAGCTGTCAGGCCACTCACGACAGCTCTAGACTCTGGCTTGCTTCCCTGCTGTGGGATGTCATCTGGCTGCCTCGGTCAGGTTCCTCTTTCACCAGACCGTCTCAGGCTGGGCAGGGCTGGATGGGCCATCTTATTCCATTGTGCTGGTGCAGTTGAAAAGCTGGGGGAGAGAGAAGATAGGAGGACAGGAAGGAACACACAAGGGAAGGAAGGACAGAGCAGAATCTCACATATATCAATCCGTGGTTCTCGCTGGTCCAGCAGTGGTGGTCAGGTGTCCCAATTGGTGTCTTGAGGTCTGAGTGTCAAAAGGACCCTTGCGGCTCAACAGAGAAGGGCACAATCCCTGGAGTGAAGCAGAGACCTGCCAGCCTTTCCTGAGGAATCCCCAAGGAGTCCATTTTGCCATTTTAATCCCTAAAGTCTCTCTTTAAGTACCTCAAAAGGGGGTGATGGGTGGAATAAGCCATCTTCTCAGATCTTATTTTGCCCACCAATTAGGCCTAATTTCCAGCACACCAATTTTGATCCATTCTTTTCCAGTTCCATTCTCCTGTTTAAAAGTCACGACACTTCTTGGGTCTGATTGATAGGCCCTCTAATTTGCACTAATCCAGTCTTTCTGCATCTCTTCATACCCTTTCTGTCAATACTCACTGTTGTAGGTGGTGTAACATTTTGAGCTTTCACTCAGTTTCTGGCCATTGAGCTCACAACTGGGGCTAGGCCCGCTTGACCACAATTGTAACAGGGCTGTGGCCCTGCAGCAGCATATGGAGGGGAAAAAGGTCCCTGGGTTGGTCAGGACTGGAGAAAGTGCAGCTGGAGACTTGTCTGTCCTCCACCTATCAGTGTCCAGCTGCCAGATGGCCTTAGCATGAGGGTGGTCTTTTGGGGATGCTGTCCCCTATTCCTCATGTGGCATCCTCAGTTATTGGGTTCCTACCTGATGCTTCATCGCCCCCTTGATCTTGGCTCATGTACTTGAGGAAGAATACCAGGAACATTTAGGTAGACACGCTACCCCTTTCTTACCTTCAGCAGAAATGGGGGCCTTGGGCGAGGCTATGCAAAATTGCTTATCAACGGCATGAGATTTCAGTGTGTTTTCTGGCTGGCTGTGGATCTCCTGGGATCAGTGGCTTTTCTGAAGCCATTCATGTCTCAGAAGGTGACTAGAAGCTCCAGTGGCTCTGTTGAAGATTTGAGCAGTCTCTTCTCTTTGCAGAAGTACAGTCATCCTTTAACTCTTGTGCCTTTGGGTATTAGAATGGTTAATTTCACATACGAAAATGTTGAAGGAGAAAAAGATGGTTTTAAGGATGAAGTTTAACTCTCCATGAGTCATGTTTCCTTTCTGCTGTTTGTCTTCCCTCTTTCCTCATTGTTTAGCAATTGCAATTTTTATCTGTTTAACTTGAGACCTTATCCTGAAATTACTTATGCATGTGAATAGACTCTGAGAGTTTAACGGGGACTACTTGTGTGTGTTTGCAGGTTGGGGCTTACATGATTGTATTGTTGAGGCTGGGTCATGCTTTAGCTTTAAAGTGCTATCCACAACATTGATATTAATAAACTCTGGATTTCCTTGTAGTTGCTGTCTTACAGCAATCCCATGTTTCTAGCATAATTTTTGAGTTTTATTTAAAATAAAAAAGAAATATTACAGAAAAATAGGTTTTTACAACTTGATTGTAATGAATCCAGTCTCATATGTGGCCCTGCGTTTAGGCGTTTTTGTAAAGGGTACATTTTTGAACCGGTGAATAAACTGTTTGTTGTGTTAATACATATTTTGTCACAAAAGTATAATTATTCAAATTTTCTTTGTTTAGCAGTAACCCTCCTGAAGCTGTGATATTACTGCCAGGTAGTATGTGTGATGAGATGGATAGATAAATAGAAATGAAACAGTTGCTCATGTACTGGGTTAAAAAATACATTTGTTTAATAAAATTGCCTAAATGCAGGCTATTCATTAGCAGGGACTCGTACAATCAAGTTGAGAACCAGTTCTTCAGTGAATTTTTCTGATTTTGGTGTCCCCTTATCATGTTTCAAATTGATGCCTTTGGCACATGCCAATTTCTTCTTCTTTTTATCATGTCACATATAATTTATCATATTGTTTAATTGTATGACAAAGCATGGCTAACTCGTTTAAGCCAGTTTTGAACCAATACGTATATTTCTAAACTAGCACTCTTCCAACCTTTACCATTACACTTACGTTTTCAAACTAAATAAAACATTGAAGGGATTTTTCTTTTCTCCCAGGGAGGAGTTAAAATCATGTAAATAAGGATTTCTAGCAGAACCTGCTAGTAGTGCCACTGGCTGTGTTTTAAGGAGATTTGATGCGCAAAATGTTTTGAAATATAGGTTACATTAAGGGTATTAAGCAAAATATTCCTTTTCTTAAAAAAAAGATACTGGGTACAGCAGTTAAAAGTTTGGTGTTTTGGAAACTTCAGTTTTGTACAGTAATTCAGTCAGTTATTTTTATAGCCTCTTTCACACAAGTAGCGTTAGAATGGCCTGCTCATTTAAGTGTTACATGTTGAGATAAAGAGAACTGGCCCGTTTCTTATCCCATATTTTATCTTTCAGAATTCAATTCGTCATAACCTGTCGCTGCACAGCAAGTTTATCAGGGTGCAGAATGAAGGAACAGGAAAAAGTTCTTGGTGGATGCTCAACCCTGAAGGAGGAAAGAGTGGAAAGTCACCTAGGAGAAGAGCAGCGTCCATGGACAACAACAGCAAGTTCGCGAAAAGCAGAGGAAGAGCTGCCAAGAAAAAGGCAGCCCTTCAGTCAGGCCAGGAAGGAAATGGAGATAGCCCAGGATCACAGTTTTCAAAGTGGCCTGCAAGCCCCAGCTCACACAGTAATGATGACTTTGATAACTGGAGTACCTTTAGACCTAGAACTAGCTCTAATGCTAGTACAATTAGTGGAAGGCTTTCTCCAATCTTGCCAGAACAAGATGACCTTGGAGATGGGGATGTGCACTCTATGGTATATCCTTCATCATCTACCAAAATGGCTTCTACTCTACCCAGCCTTTCAGAGATGAGCAATTCTGAAAATATGGAGAATCTTTTGGATAACCTCAACCTCTTGTCACCTAGTACATCACTGACCGTATCGACCCAGTCTTCACCAGCTACAATGATGCAGCAAACACCAGGTTATTCATTTGCATCACCAACCACAAGTATAGGTTCACCAAATCCAGACTACCGAAAATTTACATATGCTCAAGCTAGCATGAACTCTTTGCCCCAGATGCCTATGCAAACTCTTCAAGACAGTAAATCAAGCTATGGAACGATCAGCCAATATAACTGTCCTGCAGGACTCCTGAAGGAGTTACTAACTTCTGATTCTCCGCCGCACAATGATATCTTGACATCAGTAGATACTGGTGTTTCTCAACCTAGTGGTAGAGTATTGGGCCAAAATGTGCTGATGGTCACAGATTCAGTGATGTCAACATATGGTAATCAACCTTCCCACAACAAAATGATGACTCCCAGTGCCCACCCACACCAAGGACGTAATCAGCCAACAGTTGCAGTTAATGGTCGTGCCTTGTCACACACAGTGAACGCCATGTCACATACATCAGGTTTAAATCGTTTGTCCACGGTGAAAACTTCATTACAAGTGCCTATGAGTCACCCAATGCATATGAATACAATGAACCCTTATGCTGCTGTTAACAGTTGCAATGGCTATGGAAGAGTGGGAATTGTTTCTCTCCATCAGGAGAAGCTTCCCAGTGACTTAGATGACATGTTAATTGAACGGTTGGACTGTGACATGGAGTCAATTATTCGTAATGACCTTATGGATGGAGAAACATTAGATTTTAACTTTGACAGTGTGTTGCCTAACCAAAGTTTTCCACACAGTGTAAAGACTACCACACACAGCTGGGTGTCGGGCTAGGAGTTAGTGCAAGGTAAATTCTCATATTATTTTAAAAATAATAATCTGAAAATGAGTTTAAAGGAAAAGTACAGGCTTTAACAGATTTGGAAATGCCTAAAGCTTTAATGGTTTCCAGTGTCATGTGCCTGCATCTACCATCACTTTGTTGTCTAACTTGCTAGCTTTTTTAATGGGTTGTAAATGACATTAGCCTTATGCATATGCAATGAGGATACCAAATACAGACTTCTAGCATTTATTTGGACAGGTAGAGTAGTAGTTTTGGACATCTAGCCAGTAGTAGTAAAATAAATAACTTCCACTTTATTTTATATATTTATTTTTCATTATTGTCTGACTTAGAGCTATTTGGAGCACGTATTCTATATCTTTTTTGTGAACATTACTTTTGTATTTTGTTTCATTGTGTTTTTTCTGTTTTTTCCTAGGCTACAGTTTAAAGCTCTTCAGACTTGTCTGACAACAGGAACTGAGAAAAGTAGTCCAAAGATGTCCTTCGCCCTTCTTTTAGTTTTCTTGATAAAACTGTTCTCATTTTTTCCTTTTGTCAGAATTGGCAGCAAACAGACTTTTCCTGTACAGGATGTTTGCCCAGTGTTTGCAGGTTATGTGCTGCTGTAGATAAGAACTGTGCCATTGGAAATTTCATTACTCTGAAGTGCCAAATTCACTACACCATATAATCACATAAAATACTTTTGCATCATGTTGTGCTTTCGGTTTTTGTACAGTATGAGCTGTAGATGGAGAATTGTTTTTTTTTTTTTTAAATATCTGTTTGGTCCAAAAAAAACTAAACTTTTTGTAATACTGTGGTGGTCTCATGCCCTAAGTAAGTTTAACTTTTATTAAAGTTACCCGTGTTCTGCTGAACTGATGAATTGAGATAAATGTGGACTTTGTTTTGCAGCTGTATGAACTGCCTTGTATTTGTTAAAATTGATACACATTTCATATGAGAAAAGAGAGGCCTGGTAAATAAGATCCAGCTAAGCTCATTGAATAGTCAAATGTTCAAAACAAACAATAGATTAAATGGCAATTGGTATGTTACTGATCTTTTTATTATGTAAATTTATGCAAAGATATTTGTGGGTCTGATTTCCAGATTAATGAATGTTATTGTTGGACTTGAGAGAATATTTGGAATAGTTATAAAGCTATTTTGTTCTTATAATTAAAGTCTACTTTGTTATATAGTCTACCTAAAAATTTACAGAATCTAAAATCTGGCAGCATTCATAACCTTCATTTATACAGTATTTTAACTGGATGAAGTGAACATTTTTAGATATTTGCTTAGCACCTTAGAGTGCTACTAAAGAAAGAGAAAAGCTTAATGAGTACCTTGAATACAAAACATTTCTGTCCCATATTTTTTGGCAGAAGAGTGATGTGTATAGACAGACACTTTCCGTTTCATGTTTAGGAAATATTTAATCGGTTTTGTATATGCATTTTTAGAAACTTCATCAGCTTCTATTACCATTTTAACCCTGACTACCACAAAGTGTTAAGTATTCATTGTTAGATGCTTGTACAGTGCTTCATGTTGTATTTATTTCATGGAGGTCTCATAATGTTTGTGGACTCAAAAGCAGGATCTTTGTTTTAAGAACATTCACATTTTGTTAAAGTAAATGACAGAATTTCCATTTGTATTTAGCATTAGTTTTAGGGCCTGTCAGCATTTTTATCATCACACCCTATTTTAGGGGGGTTGAAAGTGCTACTATAAAACTACATGGGGGATAAAAGTCCATTATATAACATTTCAGGGCAAGGACATATTTGTTCTCCATTTCTGGGAGTGGGGAAGATTAGTGAAATAGCAAAGTTACAGAAACACAAGAGTTTTAAGGAGAAGGGATAGTTTTAGTTACTAAGGCTTTGGTCCTGCAAACCTTTACCTTTAGGTGATTAGGCCCATTGATAGCTATTTGAGGGTTTACAGGATTGGGCCTTTACTTGGTAAATATTTGCTGTATTTACATAGTTAAATTGTGTTTTGAGGGATGAATGGGGAGGTAAACCTGCCCGCCTGCCACTGATTACTGCACATCGTTTATATTAAAAAACCAAAAACAAACCAAAAAACTGAGGATTTTTATTTTGCACTTACAATATTTGCAATTTTTATGATAGTTCCAGGGATGGAAATGAATTTTTCTGCTGTACTATTTTCAAGTGATCCATAACTGGAAAGTGATTATATAATCCCAATTTAGCTCCCATCTTCTCCATTGTCCTTCTCCATGATCATTTGTGGGACGTGCCAGGAGAGAGAAGATTAACAAAACATAAAAAGTCTATGATATTAATTACAGTGTGTGCTCAGTGCTGGCAGTTCACTAAAACAGCCTGCATTTGTCTAATATCTTCCCTATCAAATTAATGATATCTGAAATGTGATCACAGCTCTTGGCCATGGCATGAGCAGAGGACTCCCTGGGACCAGTTTCAAAAGAGCCTCCTTTTTGGTGCATGTGCAAAATTTTTGCTGTCCAATGGCAGTTGACTAGAGTAAGTGAAGTACTGAGTCATATAATTATTTGACCTTTATGTGCCAATTTTGTTTGCAAAAAGAGAGACCCTTTGAAATTTGACCCTCTGGCGCAGGAGCTGAACATGCTACATTTAACAATTTACCTCTTATAATTTTATTGCTACTGTATAACTTACAAATATATTCTTTCTTTTATAGCTATGATGAACTTGAATGCAACAGTTCCTTAATTAAAATAGGCTGCAGGAAGTCCTGTTTGATCATTATCAGAATAGATACTTATAGATGTTGGGAATTTTGGTTCTGCATTTTCTTTTTATTTTGTTTGTGTGTCAAAGTTCTAATATTTTTGCTTGTAACTGTGGGATACTGTGAAATCTAATGAAGGGTAGGTTGTCTGTCTTGAAAGCAAACATTATGTGACCTCTAGTAATAAATTCTTTTAAGTAAAAGTACCGAACTTTTGGAGTAAATTAGTTTGTCAGAATTATTGTAAATGATTGCTTTGTGAATTGTGCAGATGATCTTACCTATGCAGCTTTGGTTTTGACTTTTCTCTGGTTTGTACTGTTTTTAAAAGTATATTGTATTATAGAGCTGTTCAGATATTTTAAATATAAAGATGTATTGTTTCCATAATATAGCTATATGATATATGTTTAGGTAGTAGATGCATTAATTGGAAAGCTCTGCTTTGATAAACTGACAAATTGCCTACATTTATAAGCAAAAGTTGTACTGCTTATTATTGGCTTAAGTCAACAGAGCATCCCTAAGAAGAGGAGAGAACTTAAAATTGGACCAATTCTAAAATAGTATAAAATTTGCACTTGTTAAACCACTGGATGTATGTTAGTACTTTTTTATTTTTTTACTGATTTGAAGTTCATATTTTCATTATGAAATTGCTAGGATTCTTAATTTATAACTGATTTTAGATAAGATGTTGTCATGTTTTTTTGTAATCATTACGTAAAAATGCAGCGTGGTTTATGCAAACAAACAAAAAAACTTGGCATTAAAACTAGCCTCCTTTTTGAGGGTTGTTCCACAAACCAGCAATATCACCAGAGAATGGCTTGTAAATATGGCTGATTTTACTCGTGGGTGGTGTAACAGCACTTCTGTGTTCCACTGCTCTGATTCAGTAACATCGCAGAATTAAAGTTCATATTTGGATATTTTCAGAGAAGTGCCTGATGTACCTACAGACACAAGAACAATCCTTTACTGTTATTGTATAAAGCCATAAATGTATATAAATTATGTTTAAAAGGTTTTGTGTCTTTTCTTGTATACTGGAAATGAGATTTGTACCAGGATTCTACTTGTGATTAGCAGTTATCCTATTCAAACACTGTAGTAATTACATTCCTTACTGCCTAATATTTTCAATAATGATAATCCCATTTTGACAATCTTGTTGGCATTAGCAATTTTATGTGGAAAAATACCTCATGGTACCAAGTCTTGGAGTTCAGCAAGATGATACCATATTAATAAGCAAACACTAACTGCAAAATAGCTAACAGATTTTCCAGTACTTCATGTAAGGGGAATTATCTTTTGGAATTTCTTCTGGAATTGGAACTGTATCAGGTACAGTAACTTAATAGGGCTGTGTTAAGTATTTTATCACAACATATTGTGATAAAACTAACTTGTTTATAACTCTTTGGGACTAAACACAAGAAGAATCCATGCCTGAATTGACAAGATATATTGTGTAGAGATACTTTGTTGCTGGAAGCTGCTTTACACAGCTCAAGCGTTGTTGCCATTGGTTCAACAAGCCTAGTTCAGAGAAAATTGCAAAAATTCCTGAAATCCCTTCAGAATGCATATTTGTAAGTATAAGCTTTTAATAAAATTGCTATGACATGAGATGGTGATTAATGTATTAGAACATTATGTAATACATTTAGAAAATGTGAAACAAAAACTTACATAAAACCACAGGAAGGAATTACTCTTAAATTAGCATGTTACAGATTAGATCCTAAAATCATTGGAGGGGGTGTGAGTGGGGTGGCAGCAGAACCTTTTTTAAAAAAGATGGAACACATTCTAACCTGAGGGTACTTAATCCAGAAATAACCCACGTGGCTGAATAAATTCTGAAATGGAAGAGGAGGTGTTTGTAGCAATTTTCTGAAGCCAAAGATCTCAAGTTTATTAGCCTGGGACATGGTGGTTCCAGGTGAACAGCTTCAAATCTCTGTTATGCTTAAATGTTTGTTTATTCAAATTTCCCTGCTGAAGAATTAAAAAAAATCTATTGACCCTGTTTTTCCCTACTCTTATCTCTCCCTCTCCTTCCTCTTCATTTCCATCTTTTCACTTCTCCCCATCCCCACAAGTCAGCAATGCTTTGATAAACTTCTTCCACTTCATATGTACGTCTGTTGAGTTAATCATCTTCCTCTGATACAATCTACCACAGTTGGCCTTGACACATTGTGGTTCTTTGGGGGTTCATCCAGACAAGTAAGGGGTTGTGCCTCGTCTAAGCCTGGATATGTCTGTGCTTTGCAGCTTTGGCTCGGAGCCCTGGTTACTTCTTGCAGGGTGGCACTACAGCCCCTCCCAACCCAAGTCTCTGCCAAACCACCTCCCCTGCAGCATCCAGTCCCTCTCACGGGATCCTCACAGCAGTTATCATGTTCACTGCCTCTAAAGAGCCAGAATGCACACCAGCATCTTAGTTTTGCTGAAGACCTACACCGTGACACAGCCATTTGTAATAAAGCAAGAATAAGTTTGCTAATAAAGAGCATAGGTTTAAGTGATTTGCAGTGAGAGTGAAAGAAAAAGAATGGTTACAAACAAAACACATTTTCTAGTGCCTCAAACTTAATTCTAGCAAGTTACAATCTTTGCCAAAGCAGTTTCCTTACTTACACCAAGTTATCAGCATCCTTAATCCTCCAGACCTGGGGACCCAACTTTCATAGGGCTTGAAGGGTGCTGTGCCCTATTCTCCCCTCAGGGATAGATAATAAAATGGCTTTTTGCCTTTGCTTGTATCTTCCTAAAGTTCACTGACTCTGTTTGAAGAGGCAGAAAGGCTTGCTGGGGGGTGCAGTCTCCAGCCCTGTTCAAAATTCTTAACTCGCCATTTTCTCCTCCTTGCTCGCCTGATTGCTTTGTTTACCTTCTGTGTAAATGTGCTTTTTCTTGGCTTTGGTCTCACCTTGTCTAATTACACTGGAGACACAGTCAAGCCTGCAAACCAGTGTTGCTTTGTGTAG